AAGGTAATCCAGAGCCTCGAGGAGACTGGGGAGTTTGATGTTAAAGGTAGGATAAGACAAAATTAATCCGTAACATAATGAGGGCAATTAGCCGTAGACGGATTAGAAAGTGGCAGCAGAATCCATCATGGAGTCTTTAAATAAAATATAGGCATTACGAGATGAACTTACCGGTTCTCTTGAAATCAGCGCAAATTTTAAGGCGTTTGCGGACACTGCTTTCGGAGTGGTTGGGGAAAGCCGAGCGGATTTCTTCCATCTTGATCCGTTTTGGCTCATCGGTACTCTTGAGGAATAGACGAAGGATGTAAACCTGAAGGAAGTCACGCGCGAAGTTATTGGCACGCTTTGAGTTAGGTCCCGGTACTTCCATCAGCGGAACCTCCTGACCCACTGTAAAGGCGTTCGGCACCCGCCGAATCCACAGGCCATTGCGGTTGCGAATCACCAAAAAATCTGTCGATGGTGTCTTGTGAGGATAGATTGGCGCTCGGAACATGTTGTTCTCCATGCTCTACAATACAGCTTATGCAAAGAGTTGTTCCTTGGTAGGAGAAGAGGCGAGGTACCTCATAGTAATCCATAAATGTAAATAATAAATTTCAAGCCAACCATTCACCCACCCACCTGGAGGCATCCGCCTGGACGAACAACACCCAAGAATGGTGAATCAGTGTTCCCCACATTGACTAGTGAACCATAGGGGAGGTCTGGAGGTGAACTATTGCCTGCCGGGTCTGGAGAGAGAGAAGGATCTTTCGGCAGCAGAGGTCTGTAGTAATTTACTAGCCGTGTCGCCATGCCAATCTGAAGAGAATTATAAAAAACCATTTTCAGTGGTTTTCTCGGATGGCTAAATCGCTACCTTGTGTACTTATACCAGACCATTTTACAGTTGGAGTTTCTGCACAAATATCCGAATTGAATGATTGCCATGTACAGTGCGAGTTTGAATTACTGAGGTGCATAGTCCCTATGATTGTTATATAGGAAGTTCATTGGACTGGCTTTCCCGAAAATGACCAAAAATCGCCAGCCATCAGGTTTACAGTCACATTTTCGGCACGATTTAATCCTGCCGTATTAGGAAAACACCAGCCAGCGAACCGATGACATGCAGAGGGTAGCACTTGGTTAATAATTTCGAAAGTGCGCTTGTAGCGAATAGCTAGTGGGCAATACAGTACTCTATTTCCATGTAAACTTTTATAATAAAACCAAGAATCACGGGGAGCATGATATTGTCAGGAGTTGAGATCTACAATTAGGTAGACATTGGCACTTATTGTGACTGCTACAAACCATTCGTCATTCCTTTTATGAACTACGGTGAATTATATAAGCTAATCTTGTGAATAATTTTAGGTACTACCGCATTTTAAAAGTATGTAATATGTCAGAAAAGGGGATACGACGAGGAATGTCAAACAAACAAGGAGGGAGTGGAAGCACCAAAGCAAACAAGTTGATCGTAATTAAATCAAACAAGTGACCGAAAAAGGAGGATTAATTTCAGCGTAAATGCA